GTAGCATGGAGAACACAGAGCCACAGTGACAGATGAGTAAGGACACAGATAAAAGGGGCAGGAGAAGCTGTACAGCCATCACGTTCTTCATCTCAGCTGGGTTCCCACCAAAGTAACTCACCTGGTGTCAGACAAATGACACGTGGTGTCTCACCCATGGGGCCTCAGCTGAGATGCACACGGGCTCGCCCATTTATCTGCCACGCAGATGGTTCGTCTTGTGTTCTCTCGCCAGCAAGGCAACAGCTCAGCTTTGCTGGGGGATCACCTCCAGATGTTCAACCAAAGAGAGACCCTGCCACCCCACTGAGAGTAAGCAGACAGCCCCTCCCTGCAGCTGGGGCCACTCAGCGACAGTACAAATTCGAAAAATCACCATCTTGGTAATGGTCACGTTTGTAGTTCAAAACCACATAGAACACACCATTGTCTGAGTGCTGACTTTCTTAGGAAGTAGCCAGAAGCTTACAAATAGTACCAAGTTATCTTTTATTTCAAGTATCTTTTAAATAAGTCAGAGCTGGCAGGCAGGTTTTCTGTAACTTTTGCTTGTAGCTTTCCCTTGCTGATGTCACTTGCTAATTTTTCCACATGGGCCAATGTGACTGTTTAAACAAAAACAGCCTTTGTCAAATACCTAAAATAAAGAAGTGCAGGCTAACACCTTCTACGCCTTTATGTTTTGCCATGCCGGCTGCAAGATGTCCCAGGTATCTATGTTACATTTCGTGAAACTTAACAAAGAGCACATTTTATTCCAGCGATGGTGAAATAGTGGTAGTTACGTATTGTTCACATCAGCATTGGCGTTTGTTTCATAACCTGGGAAGAAAAGTGTCAAAGCATTGCTACCGAATATTAAGTTTTCGAATATTTATGAAAAAGACAATTAAGGAAAAATGGGGGTAAATCCTAGATTTTTTTTGACCCAGGCAATTGGGTAACAAAACACTTCACTCAAATGAGAAAATAGGTGATGGATACGTTGGAGTGGGATGGGAATGAAGATGATCTTTGAACTATTTAAAGTTTGTGGTGCCTATTCGATATTCCAGATCTAAGCAAAGACGTGAAGCACGCAGCGGAACATGCAAGTTTGGAGCTTGGCGGAGACGTTGGAATTGTATTTATATTCATTCAGTTGTCATCAGAATATAGTTGTTTCAGAGGAGAGTGCAGAGTGGAAAGGTGTAAAGACATCTAGGTTTCTACTCGTCTTTGGAGATGATTCGGTTTTTCTTGGGTGTCTTTTCTTGAAGTGTCTTCCTTATAAAATAAGGACTTGAAAAATGTTATAAAACTTCCAACACCAACATTATGTACCTAACTGATCTTCATGCGTAAGTGGCTGTTTTATGTCAAGAAACATTTCTTTTTTACAAGCCATGCAGCGGTTGCCAACCTTTCGGACCTCAGGGACCACCAGGGGTCCGCGGACCACCGGTTGGCGACCGCTGCGGTGGTCTGCCCTTACAAGAGGAGCCTTTTGCCATTCGGACTCCTTGTGCAGTTAGCACCGCATCATTCATTCTGGGAGTTTTCTGCCTCGGGTTTCCTTCAGTGCATCGGAGTCAGGGGAACGGCTGGGAAGAGTGGCATTTTTTCCAGGTTGCACTTTAAAGATGTTACACACATTTCCTCTGCGTATCCCTGTCAGTGAGGTTGTACAGACTGATCCAACTTGATTCATGGATGAGATGATGTGGTTTCTGAGCACTTCAGTGACCTCAGAAATATAATCACAGGTCAAATTTTAGAAGGTTTTCGGTTAAAATGCACATATGGTATATTCTGTGAACACTCAGTGTTTTGTCAGTATTAGAGATTTTCTTGGGCATTCTTGCTTTCTATGGGAAATTACATTCCAGTAAATTCACACAGTTTGTCTGGCCTTTGGCTGCACCAACACTAGTAATATTAATCTCTTATTTCAAAGGTGTCTTGTTTTTCTTTCTAAAATGCTTCACCCTCACCGACCCGTATTAATATTCTATTTAAATTGCCAATAGCTTGGACATTCATGCGGTCATTCTTGACTTTTGTAACAAGAATGATTTCAGTCAAATAGTGTGGATGAAAGCCTGTCTGTTGTGAATTCTAAAGCAAATGGGAAAGGAAAATAATGACAAGTGAGAAAACTCAAGGAGTTTTTACTGTGAAGTTCTACGTGATGGTTTATGTTGGGGGGGGCTGGGAGTTTATGCAAGAGTGATGAAAATACTGAAAGTGTACAAATGAGAACACTCCAGCAGAGGGATAATGTGTGATGGAGGACAGAGTGGATGATTGCAGGAGTGGAGAGATCCGGGGCATTAAGCCAATGGATTGGCTGGGACAGGAGTGCAGACATTGCTTTTATTGTAACAGGAGGAGGGTGAATGGGACAGTTGAGTTTCTCTTCCGATGCTTCTATTTTCTCAGTGAAATGAGAAACAAAGGTATCAGCAGGGAGTGAGGAAAAGTTCTGGATATTAGAAGTTTGAGGAGAGAGAAGGTCATTTAAAACAGCCATTGGAAGAGTAGGGGTAAATTAACTAAATAAATGTAGGGTTGCCAGGACCCATTTGAGGGTGATGATCGTGAAATTGAGGAGAAACACTCAGCAGTTTATTTGTTCATTTGTTTCCTAGCTTACTCAGCTGCTTGGGTTTGGGAAAGATTTATTATTAACCCAGGTTAGAAGTCCTAATTTTGAAAAGAGAGGGAGTTAAAGATAAGGTAAGGGAGTGAGTTTTAATGATGGGGAATGGGACCTCATCCAGCAAGGAGGGAAGTGAGGGAATGAGGGGAGGAGGTGATGGGCACTGAGAATGGGGTTGGCTCCATAGTTTTTGGGACCCTCCAGGTTGGAGTCAGAATGGTTACCGTAAGAATATTCTGAGGATGAACCAGAGCAAAGGAGTAATGTTTGAAATTGAGAGTTAGGTGAGTGTTGAGTTACAGATGAGGGCAAGTCTAGGGTGTGATCCTGAGTTGGGAGCTGAGGTACAGCAGAGGGCAAGGCCACTGGAGCTGAGGAGGGCAAGGCACTGAGAGGCCATGTTGGAACTGGGAAGGAGAGGAAGAACAATACAGTAGTCTTCACTGAGCAGGTGGTATGTGTACCTTCCTCTTGGTTGTTAAATACTCCTGCAGTCAAGCATCCAGAGCTGGAGAGGATGCGGGCCACCCTTCAGTAAGCAGGGACTTGTGACGGGGCATTTCCTGGACAGTGTCCCAATGCTTTCTGGCTAACTTTTCACGCATGGCCCTCAGTTCCTGGGCTATGACCACACATACGATAGACGGTTTTCTTTTCTCTCTTGTCCTCTTCACCTTTATTTCTACCCCTCACGCACATAACTAACTACTCCTTTCCGTTGTCCTTCATCTTTCATGGCTCAGGCTAAACGTAGCACTTCCTTGATGAAACCTTCCCTCACAATTCACATTCGACTCCATTCCAACTGGTACATACTCTTATAACACCCTCTGCTTTTCACTTTTTTTTCTCATTTACCATACTTGAAAGCAAGAATGAGTTTAGTTATCAGTCTCTAATACACTCCCTATGAGCTCCATGAGGGCAGGGCGATGACTGTTTTCCCAGTGCTTAGAGTGGTCTCTTAAACGTAGTTGGCACTCAATAAACAGGTGTTGCACAATGAATGAAAAGTCCCAATCGTTCTACCTACAGTGAAATTGAAGGGCTTCATCAGTGTGTGCAGGGCCTTTTGAGGTTTTTGCCTAAAGCGGTTACAACTCCCTTCAAAGTTTGAATACTTAGGTATTGTAACTCTAAAGCGTGTATTTAGTTTTAAAAATATAAGTAGGTGTGAGTGAGAGGTAAACTTGAATTTTACACAGAAAAGTCTGTATTCATGACTTTAGTGGTGGTATTCTGAATGTGCTGCTTATAACATAATTGGCATGTTGCTCACATGGGCACTGACTCAGCGGAAAACTAACCACTTTTGAAAACACAGTTCAAGACCTGTGCAGATGAGCAGTCAGCAGACTCATTGTCAAATAAAACAAAAGGCCTAAGAGAGGTGCAATCACCTGAGGATTCCCTCCACCCCTATTATACCATGGTATTTTGCTATTGTTTAAATTAAATTAATGTTACCAGTTATCTTTTTTAATCAGTGAGCAGTTATTGCAGATTATGTATGATTTAATTTACAAGGTAAATAAAGGTCTAGATAACACTTCTCAAATTAAAATATAATCCTTTGCTTCTTTCCTAATATTTAATTTCCCTTTGGATATGTTCATAAAACATTTTTAGTGCTGTCAAATTTTTTTTAAGTTCTGCATATTTTTAAAGTTCAGGATTTCAAAATCAATATTTCTATGGTTTACAAGTATGTATAAAAAGGTGTTGCCTGGCCGGTGTGGCTCAGTGGTTGAGCATCAACCCATGAACCAGGAGGTCACGGTTTAATTCCCGGTCAGGGCACATGCCCCAGTTTCAGGCTCCAGCCCCAGCGCGGGGAAGGGAGGGGGTGTGCGCAAGAGGCAGCCAATTGATAATTCTCTCATCATTGATGTTTATCTCTCTCTCCCTCTTCCTTCCTCTCTCTGAAATCAATAAAGATATATTTTAAAAAAAGAAAAGAAAGAAGGTGTTTTATCATTTGACCACTTAGGTATAGGACAATTAGATGGAGAAGGACTCCTAGGATTTGTGCTGTCTTTTATAGTGGTTGACATTTGTTGAAAAATGAGATTTTTGGAAAATTTTCAGTAGCTTTCCTTTATTTTCATTACATTTCCTAGTTTGGGGGTGGGGGGGGGTGGGGGGGGGGGGACAAAGTCCAGGTTTCTTTGGATTAAATTGACTCAGTACAACCTGTCCTTGTGAACATTTTATGATTTCCATAGAAAACGTTTATTATTTACCTCTTTTCCACCATTTTCTAAGTGTGTTAAAGAGTCGTTAGAAATCAAAGTGTATGTTGCTGCTCTGTTACCACCAAGAACGACTGAATTTTGAACCCCTCGACACTCTCTTCTAGCTGCTTTCGAAATCTATTGAACAACTGAAGCAACCAGGCAGGCACCTGGAGGAAGCGGAGGAAGAGCTGCAGGGGGACCAGGCGATGCAGGAAGACAGAGCGCCCTCTAGTGGCAACAGCACTAGGAGCGACAGCAGTGTTGGTGTGGAGGACACACTGGGACAAGTTGGGGCTGTGAAGGTCAAGGAGGAGCCAGTGGACAGTGATGAAGATGCTCAGATCCAGGAAATGGAATCTGGGGAGCAGGCTGCTTTTATGCAACAGGTAATAGGCAAAGATTTAGCTCCAGGATTTGTAATTAAAGTCATTATCTGAACATGAAATGCACTCCAGGTTTTGGTCAATGGATATAATTTCCTATCACTGAATAATTTGATTTTAGTGTTTAAGGGTTCTAACTAATGTGTATATATCTATATAGAGGTCTCTCTCTGTACTGATCTCTGTATAGATATCAAGGTTTCATTGAAATTTCACGGGCCAGGAAATACCTGCTACACTAATACGATACCACATAGTTATCCAAGTAACTAACAGGCTTTAAATCCATCCTCAAGCCTGCCACATCAATTACTTCTAAGGAAAACGAACTCACTGTTGTTTTAGTTTCTCTGTTGAGATCAGTGACTGCTGGATAGTGTCCCAGTCTGATCAATGACACATTCTATTAGTTCTTGATTTCTTTTTGATATGTAGAATTCAATTTTCCCAGCGTTGTACATAATGTATCATGCTACAGTCTTGAACACTGTTAAAGGTAGTCTGCCCCTTCCTTCCTCTCTCATTTCTGTTAAGTGAAATGTTCTGGTTACCATGCCAATAGTCCTAGGTTACTGTATAGATTGCAATTGAAAATATTAGGAATAGAGGTGGTTTTAAATATATAGATGCAACGTACAGCACTATTTTAAATATTACATGATGTCTCACCGAACACTGCTCATTTTACTTTATCTTGTGTTATTTGATGACACTGTCTATCAAAAAAAGATCAAGTGAAGCAGATGCAAATGCTGTTAAGAACTAACGTGCAGCCTACGGGCCAATCAGATACCCTATTGTAGTATCTGCAATTATAGAAAACACAGCAACAGTAAGATTATCATCTAATATGAAGTCAAAATCACATTTAAAAGAAGCAAGCATATCATATTTTATTATCATTATCCCTAGGATCTCTTAAGTATAATTCCATGATGACATGACAGACGCCATACCATTTTGGCAAAATTAGCAAGGTGGCCCTTAACAAAAGAACCTACTTGTACATAATGCACCTTTAGAAGGACTGTGTCCTTTGAAGTTATAAAATACAAACAACTTTGAAGGCAACAGAAGACTGTTTATTTAAGTCACTTCTTTGTCAGGTTCCTGCTGTTCTCCTACAGAAAACGGATTCTATGAGGCTGAGCAGGAAATGCCTTGTGGAAACAGGAAGTCCAAGTGATTCATGTGCTGGGGAATGTAGGGGGCAGAAACGGAGGATAGTGTTTTACTCTTTCTGTTTTTAAAGGGCACTCTATGAATTGATTTATTGTCTAAGAAAATAACACCACAAGTCGGGAAATTGTTAAGGAAGCTTTTCACTGGAACATTTCCTTCAATACTCCTTTTTGATATGTTTACCTTGTTTTATAGGTTTACTTTTGTTAAGCTAGTTAAAGATTTGTCATATTAAGGCCCCTTTAATATGAATAATCCAAATTGACCTAGAATCTTTGTGACTTTTTTTCCTATTAAAATATTTATATTTCTAAATCCGAGGTATTAAAAGGTGTAGTATCCTGTTTCAAAGGAGATACAGCAGTTTTGCCAAATGTAGACATTGTACAATTGTATGTTACTGGCATGTGTTGTTTACATTTTGCTGTGACATTTAAAAATATTTCTTAAAAAAAGGTTACTGCTAAAGATACATTATCCTTTTTTAAAAAGTCGCCATTCAAATTAAATTAATATAACTAGAAGTTAGAAAGTTTAAAACTTTTCCATATAATGAAAAAAGACCTGATAATTTGACAAATAGCTATAACACTTCCTATTACCAACATATTTTGGTTAGTATATTCCTTCAGATTAAAATGACTTTTTGTCAGTTATTTTGCATTAAAATATGGCATTCCTAAGATAAAATTGTATATTTTCTCCATCTCATAAATATACATTTTCTTTAAAGTCTTTTTTTCAATTTCATAAAAAAGGGATAGTGCATCTTTTAAAATACATTTTATTTGGGGAGGAACATGTGGCTGAGCAGACTTTTGTATAATATTACTTCAAAGATATGTAACGAAGAACAAAAAAAAGCCTATTTTTTATAATGTCACTTGAGAGAGCTTCATCAGTACAGTTGGTGGACGTTAATTTGTTTGAATTTGATATTCTTTGAATTTAATCAAGAAACTACCTGGAACCAGTGAAAAGAAAAGCTGGACTTAAATAATCTTAGAGCTAATTGATAATTGTCTCTTTTAAAATCTACTGTATTTATTATAATTTACACCCTTGATGGTGATTTCTTGTTTTGTGTTGTAAATATATTGTTTGTATGTTTCTCTTCTTGCCTTCTGTTATAAGTCTCTTCCTTTCTCAAATAAAGTTTTTTTTAAAAGATCCCCTTTCATACATATGGCTTTGTGTAAATTTGATATCTAATCGAATTCGAAGCTCATGCAATAGGTGTCACATACCAAAATATATTGCCATTCTTTGTTGAAACAGAAAAACAAACATATTTTGAGTAGTTACTTCTATGCCATTAAAAATAATAAATCCAACAATAATGATTTTAAAGTATTTATGTCAGCCATGATCAAGTAGCAAATACAGGTAAAATTTGTTGCATTTTTAATACCCCAGTGTGGCCTTTTCCATGATATGTTATCATCTTGATGTCAATATAAAATTTTATGTAAATAGATGTCAATTCCTAACTTTTCTCAACTTAAAAAAGTTATTTTAATCAGATTAATGTAATCCCTTGAATATAACAAGCACTCAATAAATATGAATATAAATAATTTATCATGTATTATAACAGTACTATCTACTACAGTGAGAGTCTGACCTCTAAGTATAAAGTGATAGTACATAAATTTAAAGAGAAAGGAGTAATTAAATTACCTCACCTTAGATGGAAATAATTATTTAATACGACTGTGAGAAATAAGGAGTCTGACTCAGGTAAAGGGAACTGGGCCAGACACATCCCCCAGGCCATGCCAGACCTTGTTCCTCTTCTGGTCAATTGCTAGCAAAACTTATTAGCCAATAGTTCATAATGTGTTGTTGTGTATTTGGTTCAATAGGTTAAAAATATTTGTTGTATTTTCTTTGATCCCCTTAACCTAACTGATAGTGTCATACAAATTAAAGTTACTCTAAGTCATAACAGTATTGCCCTAGACTGTTAAAAATACTGGAGCTAATATCATTGACTATTATAAAATGGACTATCATTCCATAATGCCATACATTTGATAATTTGGTCAGAATTGTGGGAATATCTTCGGTATTAGTCATGCTTTCCTGAAAATTGCCTTTGGACTGTAAAATTACAAGATGAACTAGGTACCAGCCATCCTCAAAAAAGAGATGGAGGATTCAATTAGATAATGGTTTTATACTGTATGTTTGATTTCCAAAGTGTAAAGTGGCTATTTCAATAAAAAGCATCAGTCTCAGCTTTTCTGAAGAAAGTTTTTCTCTTTTCTGAAGAAAGTTTTTCTTCAGAAAAGTGGTTTTTGCCAGGACTCACAATAAATATCCATTACATTTCCTTAGTGGAGGTGGCTGCTGAAATGGAGATTGCTGCTTTTCATAGATCTGAAAAAGATAGTCTTTAAGATATTTTTATGTTTCATCTTTCTTTTTTTCTAAAGGCTGTAATAGGAAGAAATTCAGACACTACACATTTTTTTGAAACCTAATACTCAACAGATATACTATAGACAACAGTATTATTTTTGATGTGGCATTTCTTTGTGATATTTTTTCATTACTGGAAATATGCAATTGTGGGTATATAATTGTAGGCTGACGATGATAAATAATCAAGGTCTTCAAATTATAACCAATTATAATCAGGAACTCAGAGATGCAAGGGAAGGATTTTGAGAGGTAGGTTGCCATTTCTTTCATAATCAATAATTTTAAAGGGAAGGAATGGGAGAGCAGTCAAGCAAATAAAACAGGATATTGGGAATGTGACTTTTCAGAACCTACTGATTTCAGAACCTATTCTCATTTTATAAAACAAAACAAAACAAAACAAAAAACAACTTCTTAAAGGCTTATAAACTGTAGGGTTTAGACAATGAAAATTTGGGGGATCATCTTGATTTGCAAAAAGACTTTTAATTAAATTTTAACTATTGCAAACATACACTGTACCACATTTTGTTTTAAGTATATTGCATCTGTTAACTGAGTCCTCAGAACAACCTTATGGGGTAGGTATTATTGTCCCATTGTAGAGTTGAGGGTACTGGGTCACAGAGAAGTTAAGGTCAAGGTCACCCAGTTAGTGACACTCTAGCTCTCATTCGTACCCACAAACCCAGGCACTAGAATCCCTGTTCTCAAACTTCACCATCACACTGTATTATGTAACATCCTTTTACATGTCCAAGTTTATTAGTACATTACCCTCCCCCCCCCCTTTCTCTGTCCATCTGCATTTTCAAACTGTTTTGAATCAGTTTTCTCTTTTAATCATTGCTGTAATTTAGGAGATTAGCACTCTTATTTTTTCCTAATTCATAGATGAGAAATCTAATTATTGTAAACATTTATGCTCAATTTTTAGAACCGTGAAAATTTGTGAGTTTATCTTTTCTGACCAGTGGATGGACACTGGATTGTTTTCATTTGGGGGGTATTATGAGCAATGCTGCTATGAACGTCCATGTACAAGTTTTTGTGTTAACATATGTTTCAGTTCTCTTGGGTATATACCTAGGAGTGAAATTGCTGGATCATAAGGTAACTCTGTTTAACTTTTGAGGAACCCCCAAATTATTTAACACAATGGCCTCGTTTACATTCCCACTAGCAGTGTATGAGAGGTTCCAATTTCTCCGCATCATCTCCAACACTTGTAATTGTCCCCTTTTTTGTAGCTAAACTAGTGGGTGTGAAGTACTAGCTCATGGTTGTTTTGAATTTCTATTTTACTAATGACTAGTGATGTCGAGCATCTTTCCATTTCTTATTGGATGGCTGTACATTTTCTTTGGAGAAATGTCTATTGAAGTCCTTTGCCCATTTTTAAATCGCCTTGCTTGTTGAGTTGCAAGTGTTTTTAAATATATTCTGGATGCCAGGCCATTATCAGATATATGAATTGCATATATTTTCTCCCATTCTGTGGGTTGTCTTTGATTTTCCTGATAAATGGCATTTGATGCACAAACATTTTTAGCGTCATTGAAGTCTAATTTACTAATTTTTCTTTTGTTGCTTATGCTTTTAGTGTCACATATAAGAAACTGTTGCCAAATCCACTGCCAACAGAGATATACACCTATGTTTTCTTTTAAGATTTTTATAGTTTTAGCATTTACTTTCAGGTCTTTGGTCTATTTTGAGTTATATACATTATTTTTTAAATATATACTTCCATGCGTTTGAGTTATTTTTAGAGATAAGAGCTTAGTAATTATTGGACTCCATTTTCTCATGCATGAGCTGTTTTCCTGATTTCTAAGTTTGGTTTTGCTTCTTTGCCTTCCTGTTGCTGCTTCTTATTACTTCCTAGCTTCTGATGCTGTTTCTTTTTCTCTTCCCAATGAATCACTTAAATTCTACAATCTTAATGTTTATTATATCTAATATAAACCAAAGAAAACATAAAGTTTATTTTTCTTTTAAGAAATGCCTTTTATTCTGGTGACCTTTTGAAACTAAATTGGAGTTATTTTTCATTTATATGGCTTTAAAATTCTACCTCGGTTACCCATTTTTATTTGTCTACTAGTCCTTTGCACTTAAAATTTCTGTTGAACTAATGTTCACGTCTCTGCTTTGGACTTTGTGCCTTCATTGACAGAATTTCTGCCAAGACCGCTATATTGTACTGTCCAAACTGATAGCCACATGAATCTATTGAGGATTTAAAATATAACTGGTACAAACAACATGTGTTTTAAGTGTACAATACACAGCAGACTTCAAAGACATAGTATAAAATATATATTCCTATCTAAGTAACAAAGATATATATTGATTACATATTAAAATGATAATATCTAAAATTTATTAGGTTATGTAACATGATTAGCATTCATCTTACCTGTTTTCTCTTACTTTCTTAATGTAGCTCCTAGAAAAGTTAAGATTACATATATGCTTGCATTTGTGATTCACATATTTTCCATTGTGAATGCTGCTTTAGATTGTATTCCTCTCATTTTAAGTTATGTTAATAGGTCTCACACTACATTCCTTTGGAAATACGTGGGCTATAATACCTGAGCAAAATACTATTTGCTCTTGCCAGTATCTTTCTATTGCTGTCACCTAATCTAACATACAGGCAAAAATGCTATGTGGGAGGAGATCTGTGGCATCTTAATGGTTAAAAGGTTTAAATATTTCCTTCTTTATCTTAAAAGCAACTCAAAGTCTATCAGATGTTTTATTAACACTATCAGTTGAAAGGACAATTCACTTATTCACTCACATCTCCAAGTTAGTAAATTCATCATCTGTAAAATGGGCTTTTTTTTTTTTTAAGCTCTACCCTTTCTGTCAGTGGAACCACCATTTAGACTCTGGATAAATTATCATGAAATCATCTCTTTTTATCTCCTCTTCATTTTTTATAGTAAGCAGTTAGTACTCCTATTTCTGATTTCAAAGCCATCATATCGCTTCATTTTCTCTTTGGCTGTACTTTCCCTAATCTCTACCTTAATAATAAATTGAACTTATATAATAAAAGGGTAATATGCAAATCGACCGAATGGCAGAATGATCAGTCGCTATCATACGCACTGACCACCAGGGGCAGACGTAGGAGCTGCCTCCTGGTGGCCAGTGCACTCCCACAAGGGGAGCACTGCTCAACCACAATTATGATTTTTCATAATTTACCTTCTATATGGATCACTGATGATTGATTTTATTTTATTGTTTTTATTTTATCTGAGACATATTTTGGTAAAAATACAACATATCAAATAATTTTCATTTAGCACATGAATTTTTCTACATCAATGTATTCTATTGGAAAGATGACAACGTGATTCAAATTAATCTTAGAAGGTGAATTGACCTCGTCTTTTTGAAGATTTAAATAAAGAAAACTATACTGACCATGGGAAAAAATAAGGTGTTGTTTTTGACTATATATGCGCTGAACTTGAAGAGTGGCATTTGTTTGTGATTCATGTGTGGGATTGCCTTAGAGCAGGGGTCCTCAAACTACAACCTGCAGGCCAAATGCAAATACAAATATTGTATTTGTTCCCGTTTTGTTTTTTTACTTCAAAATAAGATATGTGCAGTGTGCATAGGAATTTGTTCATAGTTTTTTTTAAACTATAGTCCGGCCCTCCAACGGTCTGAGGGACAGTGAACTGGCCCCTTGTTTAAAAAGTTTGAGGACCCCTGCCTTTGAGATATACCTACCTGGTGGTTACAATGCTGATTCTGTAGGACTTCAGGAGTTCCAACTTTATTGTCAATTCGCAACTCCACCTGGAGCAAATTGCTTAGTTCTGCCAAGCGTCAGTTTACTCATTTGTTAAATGTGATCACTGTAATTTTTTCGTCAGGGTGTTGTTTCTGTAAGTAATATATGTGGGCATCAGAATTAGTACCGAGGAAAAATGAGCAAGTGCAGATGTCCTTGACTCTCAGTGGGGTCATGTCCCAAGAAACTCATGATACATTGAACATATTGTAAGTCAAAAATGCATTCATACTACACCTTAGAGCAGCGGTTCTCAACCTTGGCTGCACGTTAGAATCACCTGGGAATCTTTTTAAAATCCTGATTTCTGGGTCTCATCCTCCGGAAATTCTGTTTCTTTGTTACTAATGTTGTGGCCCCACCCCATAACAAAGAAACAGAATTTCCAGAGGATGAGGCCCAGAAACCAGGATTTTAAAAAGATTCCCAGGTGATTCTAATGTGCAACCAAGGTTGAGAACCACTGCCTTAGAGCAGTGGTCAGCAAACTGCGGCCCCTTGAGTGTGGCTCTTCCACAAAATACCACGTGCAGGCGTGCAAGTACAGTGAGATTGAAACTTCGTGGCCACGCTCAAGGGGCCAAAGAGCCGCATGTGGCTCGTGAGCCGCAGTTTGCCGACCACTGAAAAGTATTGGTGGTTCACCTCTTGTTCTCTGATCACTGCTGCCCGGCATCACGAGAGTGTCCTATCCCATATCCCTCACCCAGGGAAAGATCAAAATTAAAAATAGGGTTTCTACTATGTGAGATTGATTGCTTTCACACCATGGTAAAATCATAAGTCAAACCATCGTAAATCAGGGGCTGTCTGTACTCAACTTTTCAGTGTTTTTTGCTTGTTACCAAATGCTCTGAGCTTTTTTTTTTTTTTTTTTTTTTTTTTTTTGCAGGAGGTGGGTGGGGGAGTTTTCTCTATCTCCAGTTTGGTGAATGTTAAACTAGTTCCATCTGAGAACAAGAATACCTGAGATGATTTCTTGATCTTAAATAAATCACTCCCTGATTTTGAATAGTCATCAGTTCTCCTTCTAATACAGTGG